TCTCACGGAAATTGAATAGACCCTTAGAACCTATGAACTATCTGTTAGCCGTATCATCACCCGTAGGAAGACCTACTGTTACTGTTATGCTAATGGATGTACCACATATGACTGTTTACTGTACTGAACAACTGAAATACTGATTGAATTGATCTGTTTTCATTACTGTAAGGACATTCATTCTAAACCTCTTTACGCTTTATGTTATTCACTGGGCTTTAGCTCACTGCTCATATATATATGTAGGTGTACAGGCACCAGACCGCAGCTAGAGGCGTCAGGGTTACTCCAGTTTTGTCAAGCCAGCCTTTGTGCCTCACCGCGAGGTTCCGAGCCTAACGTGTTAGGGCTTAGGGGTGTTTTACAATTCCCCCTTCTGTACTGTTTCACTGTTTTGTATAGACGGAATGTTTTCTGTACTGTTTTGTAGGGTTGAGTCCCTAGTCTGAATGATTGTAAATACTGTGCACACTGTTATGTACTGTTTATGTATAAATGCATGAAAAAAATCTTTTTGGCATACAGACTGTCACAGCTCATTGGGCACTGTTTATTTACTGTGTTGGCTTCCGCCAGGCCCTGTACTCTGTTTTACTGCATTACTGTTCTGCAGGCCTTCGGTAATCTCGGATTACTGGCCGGTTACGGTACTAAACCCATAGGGCCGGGTTTGGGTCGTGACACTTGCTTAATATATAGTATAATTTTTTTTAATATATAAATTATGTTTTTTAATATTTTTTATAAAAATAATTTGACAATATTATCACTAACCATAGTGTACAGGAAAAATTAAAAAGGCTACTGCAGTAACTATACACGGGTTGTATCTATAATTATTTGTATAAGGAGATTTTAAATGCTAGTCAGAGATTTTGACCAAATTAATAAATGCAGGCATGTGGATTGGAAAAAGTTAATAAATGCTGATCAGGGAATTTTGACCAAATCAATAAATGTTGAGGTTTTTTTTTTTAATAAAAAATTTAGAAAATTAAGATTGAGAGATTGGAGTTCCTACAAGGCTTAGGGTTTAAAAACCCCATTTTTCTTAATATATTTACAATCTATACTATATATTAAGCAAAAGGGGGTTTTTAACCCCAGTGCCTGTGGGAGCTCCAATCTCCTAATCCTAATTTTTTAATTTTTTGATTTAAAAAAAAATCTCAGTATTTATTAACTTCTCCCAACCCAACCTTAGCATTTATTGACATCTTTCAACCCACAATCCCTTTTGACTTCTCTCATAATTATTGAAACACCTGTTTCAATTTCTCCCATACACTATGGTTACACAGGTTACACAAAAAAAAAAAAAAAAAAAAAAGAATTTAGCTATAAATCTCAAAAAGATATAACATTTAAATTTGAATTATGATTTAATAATATAATTATGTATTTTTTTTATGTATATTTATCAAAATTTTAAATCACTTAATGGGAAAAATTAATCAATTTTCCAGAATTATTGATTTTTAATTTACAAAATAGATTAAAAAAAACTATTGACTGATTTATTTATTTAATAACAAAAATATTTCATAATCTCTCTCTCCTAATCTCTCTCACAAATTTTCAAAAAAAAAAAATATTAAAACTTGCATTCTTTTTCTATTCCCCAAAAAATCAGATAATATTTTTTTATTAAAGTTCTAGATATCTACCTATATTTTATATATTATATTATAACATAACAAAAAAAACTAAAAAACTAATTTTTTTTTAAAGTTTATCTAAATAAACTTTAAATCAATAAAACTCACATGTCTATCACATATCTAACTCATATCATAACTTACCTAAATAATAATAATTAAAACAAATGGAAACCACATATAAACTAAATTTAAAAAAAAAAGATACCCACAACTCCATCTTAAATAAATTGAAAAAAAATACCCGAATAGAAACCACACAAAAATAAAAATAAAAATAAATAGATATATCTATCTATCTATCTATCTATCTATTAAGCAAAAGGGGATTTTTAACCCTAAGCCTTGTGGGAGCTCCAATCTCGCAATCTAAATTTCCTGATTTTTTGATTTTAAAAAAAAAAACCTTAGCATTTATTAACTTCTCCCAACCCCTATGTCCTACCCTCATAATAACACTTTAATGCATTAAGAACAAGCATAAAAAAAATTCTTTGAAATCCAACACATATGAATTCCTTGAAAAGTTCCAATACATATGATTATTATCCCTTATAATAGCACTTTAATGCATTAAGAACAAATATAAAAAAAAATTCTTGAAAAGTCCAACACATATGATTATTATCAAAATATTAAACTTTAATATAATATAAAAAAGGAAAAAAATAAGACATTTAAAAATCGCAATTCACATATATAGATAATTGTAAATATATTAAGGAAAAGGGAGTTTCTAAACCCCAAGCCTTGTGGGAGCTCCAATCTCTCAATCTTAATTTTCTAAATTTTTGATTTAAAAAAAAAAACTCAGTATTTATTGATTTGGTCAAAATCCCCTGATCAGCATTATTAACTTTTTTTAATCCACATGCCTGCATTTATTGATTTAGTCAAAATCTCTGATTAGTATTTAAAATCCCCTCATACAAATAATTATAGATACAGCCTGTGCATAGTTACTGTAGTAGCCTTTTTAATTTCTCTTGTACACTATGGTTAGTGATAAGATTGTTAAATTATTTTTATAAAAAATCTTAATAATATATAGTTTATATATTAAAAAAAATTAAAACAAATACAAATATCTATAATTATCCCGTGCATAGCACGGGTGATAGGCTAGTACTATACATTAAGCAAAAGGAGGTTTTTAACCCCAAGGCCTGTTATATTATATTAAAGTTTAATATTTTGATAATAATCATATGTGTTGGACTTTTCAAGAAATTTTTTTTATCCTTATTCTTAATACATTAAAGTGTTATTATGAGGGATAATAATCATATGTGTTGGGACTTTTCAAGGAATTCATATTTATTGGATTTCAAAGAATTTTTTTTAATGCTTGTTCTTAATGCATTAAAGTGTTATTATGAGGGTAAGACTTGGGGGTTGGGAGAAGTTAATAAATGCTAAGTTTTTGTTTTTTTTTAAATCAAAAAATCAAGAAATTTAGATTGGGAGATTGGAGCTCCCACAAGGCTTGGGATTAAAAACCCCTTTTTGCTTAATATATAGTATAGATAGATAGATAGATAGACTACAAATACTGCTATCCTATGATCTGTGATAAATAACTCTCTCAATTTTTTATACTTCACCCCTTATTTTTAAATCCCATAACAATATCCCTATGTTAATCAACCAATGGGTAAAATTAATGGTATAATATCAAAAGAATAATATTATATGTATTAATTAGTATACTAATTGATGATGTAACATAATTTTAGAAGTTTTAGGTCTTTATAATTTGTATAATGAGTGGGGTCATAATTTTGAAGTAACAATGTCATAAGCATATGCTAGTACACTAATTAGTATACTAATTAATGCATATAGTACCACCATATCAAAATCTAGAAAAATTCTATTTCTACACACTTAGCTCAGTGAACGTCATTTCCCAGTACACACACTTGTTAATTTAATTATTAATTATTTTTCTCAATCCACACACTAAATATTCAATTATATCCTTCAGTCATGCCATTGTACACACACCACCCCAACCTTCATCCCACACATTTGTTGAGTAGACCCATTACTATGGTTTCAGACTTGTTAAAAATTGTAGACCCACACTGCTACGATTGCAAACACACATTGAAGACCATATTCCTCTATTAAAGACCCCATCACCACCGCTCTCAAACACAACAGAAATTTGTATACGTGGAAGTACGGAACTGCACATAAACTAGTCATCAACGAAGATCTCACCGGACGAGAATCTTATGCTCTGGCCAACGATGATATGAAGTTTCGGTAACTTAATTCCACGCCTTTGGATTTGCTGGTAGTTCTTGAGAAGTAGAGAATCACCATTGTATTGGACTGAGAAACACTAATTCGGAGAAATTTTCTAGTTCAATTCGTTATCATGGACTCGAACTCTAGCGAATTGAGAATAATTGTACGGTGGAGAAGTGAGGGGAGGTTGTGAGCGATGCCGGAGGTAGCGAAGGCAATAACCGGTTTGGAAAGCTCGATTTGGTGAGAAACTTCGGATTTCGAGCTAGTTGGATTGGAAGCAGAAACGGTCACATCGAGAGACAACAGAGAGAGGTAGAGAATCGAGATTTGAACTGAGTTTGGGGAGAGAATAAAGGCGAAGTCACCGATAGAGAGTCCGATTTCATGGTGTAGAGAGGCGGTTAGGGTTTTGGGACGGGTTATGACTTCGGGATAGGAAATATGGCAGCAAGTGGTAGCATCAATGAGTGTAGTGGTGGTTTCCAGTGAAGAGGAAGAGTTTTGAATGAGGAGATAAAAGACTTATCGGCGATGGAGAGAGGGGTCGGCTCGGAAGGGAGAAGAGAGTAAGGTCTGATGTTGTGATATGTGTTGGTCCCTGAGCAGAAACCACTGTTCGGATCAATAAAAGAAGAATATGCATTAGGATCTAGGGTTTAGTTTTTTTTTTTTTTCCTTAAAGGATGTACACTGATATTTTTTTATTTTTAAAAGATGTGTATAGAGAATATTTGATATAACATTATGGGTGTGTTTTGATATCTATTATAGTCATTTACTTTAGGATCTAAATGTCATTAAAATAATATTTCATTAAGTATGTGTACTGAAGTAAGTAAGTGTGTAAAAATAAAATTTTTCCAAAAACTACTTATTTAGAAATATCTTTTTTGACTTTTAATAAAAAACATTTTTTTCCCGTTAATTTATTATTATTATTATTATTGTTATTATTATTATTATTATTTTTCCAAAACACTCTATAAGTTTAATCATACCACCAACCCCTATTCTACTCGTAAGGGTGTAAAAATGACTCGCGGGCTTGAAATCCATCCGTGGCCAGGTGTTAAGATGTGCCTATCCAAGGGTCAATACTTTGATATCACACTTATTTGTGCCCTTTAGAGAGCCAAAAACATGCCCAAGAAGTTGTTGGTGTAAGTGCAAGCCAAGGCCCAAGGCAGGCCATGAAGCAGCCCAACCACAGCAGATACATACTTGCCTGTCCAGCAGCAACTTTAGGCCAACTTTTGGAGGGTCAAATGTAATCTTTTGCCTTGTAAATTTTTATGTAAATACCTTAGTATTAAAAGGTGTTTTGGGTCCAAGTATTGTAATTTTTCTCTTTTTGTAGAATTTTTAAAAATTCATTATGAGTCCTCAAACATAGTGGATGTTTTCTCTTGCTAACTAGGAAATGGCTTAACAAGCTATATTAAGGAGGGGGTATCAAAGTGTTGAACCAAACCACTTGTGCCTTTAAGTATCCCAACCTAGCCAATGGTAAAACAACTTTTGCAGCAATTTTGGTGCATTGTTCAACTATTATAATACCTTCTTTTGATCAATGAAAAGTTAATTTTGCCTTTAAATTGTGCAAAGCTTTCTATAGTTGCTTGCTTTATTTTTAGCTTTATTGCTTGCTAAATTTGTGGCTTGTCTCCAACCTAGTGGCTCATAAACTAACTTATATTGTGGTTGCTTGTCCTTGCAAACACTTTGAGCTTTATTGGCAGGCTAGTGAAGAGAGTTAACTAGCGCCACACACACTTACTTATCTCTTGACAAGGCTTTCGCACAGCCAGTGTGTAACAGTTAGTATCAGAGCCCAGTCTATTTGGCTCTCTCTATTATTGGCTTTCTAAATGGATGCTCCTAGCAATCGTCAACTCACGTAAATGGAGAGAATTGAGCTCTAGGAGCAGCGTATGGACAATATGGATGCCTTGGTAGCTTCATTAGCCAACCTTGAGCAATGGGTTCATGATCTTGAGCAAACTCATGGCTTTACTCGCGGGCATGATTTGGAGGATATTGTCACTAAACTCAAGCTAAAGATTGAAGATCTTAGGGGCCGGGTTGGTGTTCTTACCTATGCCTTTGGCAATGCACCTGGTGGTGGCATGGAATTCCCTAAGGTGCGTATGCTCGAGTCCCGTGCCTACGGTGGCACCCGAGATTCCAATTAGATAACTTTCTCTTCGACATGGAGCAATATTTCAAAGCTATGAAAGTTAAAGCTGAGGAGACAAGGATTTCTATGGCCACAATGTATTTGTCTAGTGATGTCAAGTTGTGGTGGCGGACTAAACATGATGAGATGCAACGCGGCTTATGTACAATTGAGACTTGAGAGCAACTTAAGCATGAACTTAAGCTCCAATTTTTCCCTGAAAATGTTGAGTATAATGCCCAGCGTGCTTTGCGGGACCTCAAGCACACTGGCACTATAAGAGATTATGCGAAACAATTCTCTGGGCTTATGCTAGACATCAAAGACATGTCAGAGAAAGACAAGCTCTTCTTCTTTCTTGAGGGATTGAAGCCATGGGTCATAGTTGAACTTCAAAGGCAAAGAGTGTAAGATTTAACACATGCATAAGCAGCAGCTGAGTGCCTTACGGACTACGCCGAACCTAAACAACAAGACAGTGGTTCCCCACGCGAGAGTAGGGGAGGTGGAAAGTCCCAAGGCCATGAAAAACCTAAGAGTGGAGGAGCCAACACTTCTACATCCAAAACCCATTCGGGTGGAGGACAATGGCAACAGAAGAGCTATGGTGACAAGGCAAAAGCCCCTCAACAGTTCTCTACAAGCAAAGCAAAGGGCCCTATCTGTTGTTTCTTATGTAATAGGCCACATCGGTTATCTGAATGTCCATAAAAGCGTTTCTTGAATGCTTTAGCAGTAGTGCTTGACCATGTTTCTCAACCAAGTGACGATGATAGCGAGGAAGAAGACGTGCAGTCTAGGCGAAGTAGCAAGGGTTCTAAGGCAGCTGGCTCTAGAGTGGGAGCCTTTCATATAATGAATGCCATGGAGAAAAAGACATCTACAAGGAGGCCTAAGAAGAATGCCAAGAGTGGCAAAGTAGGCAATCATTTGGATCCTAAACAGCTTGTGGAGTCTAAAGATTAAGGCAAAGAGAAAAAACCCATGTATAGTGGAGAATCATCAGGCAAGTTGAACAAGAGCAAGTCATCCAACACAGGTTTGATATTTGTAGATGTAAAACTCAATGGGAAACCCCTTCATGCTTTGATTGACACAGAGACCACCCACAACTTTGTTGCCAGGACCGAAGTTGAAAGACTTGAAATATCTTTAGAGAAGGATGACAGTCGCATCAAGGCGGTTAACTTGGTAACGCAGCCCATCTATGGGGTTGCAAAATCTATTCATTTGAAGGTCAGCACTTGGGAATGAAGAGTAGATTTCACCGCAGTACCCATGGATGACTTCCAAGCCATCTTTGGTTTGGATTTCTTGAGAAGTAAAAAGACGGCAGTCATGTCTTATTCTAATAGTATGTGTGTTATAGGGGATAAGCCATGTCTTATTCCTGCTATGGCCACAAACAACAGCGACCAGTTTGTCTTAGTTATGCAACTCAAGAGGGGTGTTAGGCATGGTGAACAAACTTGGGTTGTCGTGTTGAAGTTGAATGAAGCTCTTAAATCTACTCCCGTCCCAGCCACAGTCAAGAAGGTCCTAAGGTAATTTGTAGATGCCATGCCTGAATAGTTGCCTAAGGAGTTGCCTTCACGCCGAGGTGTGGATCATGCTATTGAGTTAGTGCCAAGGGCAAAGCCACCAGCTCGTGCACCGTATAGAATGGTTATTCTTGAGTTAAATGAATTAAGGAAGCAGCTTACAGAGTTATCAGAAGCAGGCTTCATTAGGCCATCCAAGGCCTCATTTGGTGCACCTGTCTTATTCTAAAAGAAGCATAATGGTAGTCTTCACTTATGTGTGGATTATCGGGCACTCAACAAGCTGACCATCAAGAACAAGTATCTCCTTCCCCTAATTGCTGATTCCTTTGATCAATTGAGCAAAGCGAGGTATTTTACAAAGTTAGATCTTCGATCAGGGTACTATCAAGTAAGAATTGCCGAGGGGCACGAGCCCAAAACTACATGTGTTACTTGCTATGGTTCCTATGAGTTCCTAGTCATGCCATTTGGCTTGACCGATGCCCCAGTAACATTTTGCACCATGATGAATGAAGTTTTTCAAGAGTACTTAGACCAATTCGTTGTAGTATTCTTGGACGACATTGTGATCTATAGCTCCACTTTAGAAGAGCACATGGAACATCTCAAGAAAGCACTGTCCAAGTTGAGGGAGCACAGGCTTTATGTCAAGCTAGAGAAGTGTTCTTTTGCCTAAGAGAGGATTAAGTTCCTAGGGCACATTGTTGAGCATGGATGCATCAAAATGGACCAAGAGAAAGTCAAGGCTATTCAAGAGTGGCAGCCACCCATTAATGTCTTAGAGTTGTGGTCATTCCTTGGGTTGGCTAATTATTATCGCTAGTTTGTTGAAGGCTACTCAAGACTAGCTTCCCCATTAACAGAGTTACTAAAGAAGGGCAAGCCACATGTTTGGGCGGAAAAGTGTTAACAAGCCTTGAAAGAAGTTATGTCTAAAGACCCTGTTCTTGTTTTACCTTAGGTAAAGCTTTTGAGATACAAACTGATGCATCTGATTTCGCTTTGGGTGGTGTTCTTTTGCATGATGGTCACCCAATTGCCTATGAGAGTAGGAAGCTCAATGATGCCGAACGAAGATATCTAGCTCATGAGAAAGAGTTGCTTGCAGTAGTGCATTGTCTGAGGACTTGGAGGCACTACATCTTGGGTTCACGATTTGTTGTAAAGACTGATAACATGGTGGTTAGCCATTTCTTAACAATACCCAAGCTAGGTGCATGATAAGCATGGTGGCAAGAGAAGTTGGCAGAGTTTGATTTTGCCTTAGAATACAAGGCTGGTGCCACTAACCATGTTGCTGATGCACTAAATAGGAAGGCGAAGCTTTCCGTGTGCCATCATGTATGTTCACTTACTTCCATTTCAACCAGCAACAAGGAGAAAATCGAGGCTCATCTAGACAAGGATGCTATGGTAGAGAATCTTATGAACCTTGTCAAAATGGGCAAGACTCGCCAATTTTGGGTGCAAAATGGACTACTAATGACAACAGGTAACTGCATCTTTATATCCAGGGCTGGTGATTTAAGAAAGACACTTTTTAGGGAGTGCCATGATACACTTTGGATAGGACATTCGGGTTGGGAGCGAACATTGGCCTTGGTGAAACAAGGATATTATTGGCCCCATATGCGTGATGATGTGGAAGAATATGTCCGCACTTGTCTCACTTGCCAGCAAGATAAGGTTGAGCATAAGAAGAAAACAAGCTTACTTGAACCTTTGCCCGTGCCTAAACGTCCGTGGGAAAGTGTATCACTTGACTTCATCACTGGATTGCCTAAAGTGGGTGACATCGAGACTATCTTGACTATTGTGGACCGGTTCTCCAAGTATGCCACCTTTGTAGCTGCCTCAAAGTATGTTTCAGTGGAGGAGACTGCCCAACTCTTCTTCAAGCACATTGTTAAATATTGGGGTGTGCCAAAAAGTATTGTTAGTGACTAAGATTGGCGTTTCGTTGGCAACTTCTAGACGAAGTTATTCAAGTTTTTTAGGTCATAACTTAATACTTCATTAAGCTACCATCCGGAGACGAATGGACAAACTAAACGCTTCAACTGTATGCTTGAGAAGTATTTGTGCCACTTTGTCAATGTTAATCAACGAAATTTGGTGTAACTTCTTAATATGGCACAATTATGCTTCAACTCTTAAAAGAGTAGCTCTGTGGGTAAGAGTGCTTTTGAGATAGTGAATAGACAGTAACCACTGTTGCCCCACACAGTGGATGGACCTTATAAAGGAAAGTCACCCAGGGCTTACCAATTTGCTAAGGAATGGAAGAGAAACCATGACATTACTTGTGCCTATATTGAAAAAGCAAGTAAGATGAA